CGATTTTTTTGAAGACGAAAATTTTGAAGTGCAAAGCGGGGACGAAAATCTTGAAAAAATGGAATGAAATGTGATAAAGGGGGAGTGAAAAAAATTAGGGGAGGTGGAAAGATAAAAGTGAGTTAGGGGTAATATGGTAAAAATACATGCCAAAATGGCTAAAAAAGATGGTTTTTACAAAAGATGGCCAAAATTTGTGTTTTGTAAACTTTTATGGCCATTTAATGGTATTAACACTATTAAAAAAGCCGCAACAGCCTTTCCAAAAAGTCCAACCTTCTCGGCCCCGGGCCTAGGCTTGGGGCGGCCTAGGACATCAAAAGGACGAGCAGGCCTCGTGTGCGCGCGGTCTCCTTGCGTGCATGCGGGTCTACTTGGGTCTGGACAGGTCTGGTGGTGCGGGACGTGTCGACTCTTATTTTCAAGTTCAGTGTTTTTTGTCTTTGGAGATTTGCGCTGATAATGCCGTTATGCCTAGGCTGTGGGCCCTTTTTTTTGGTTGTCCCTTCCCGACCTTAATGACCTTCCGTTCCATGGACAAAAGCGTACGTGCTTCCTTCTTTCAATGCCTATCAGAAAATCCCGAATTCCAGGCTGCCATGTATGATGAGTACCAAGCCTATAAATTATATACAATATATAAGTGAAATTATGAATTAGGTTTTGAGTTTTTTCATTTATGTATTTTCTCATTTCTATATAAACTATATATAATATATAATGTCTGGATCTTTATATTTTGAATTTTGAATTGTAAGACTTATTATGTTATTTATTGGATTGTTGTATTTCGAATTGAGTGCTATTTAAGCTTTTAAAATTTTATTATTATTATTATTATTATTATTATTATTATTTGTGCAGTGTATAATGTTTAAGGTGATGATTGAGGTAAATAAAAGAGATAAAAAATTATGTAGGTGGCTACCGGGTCAGAGTGGGTCAGACGATTCATACACGATAGGTCGGTGCGGGTCGACCCGCCCCAAGACGGGTTAAGTAACGCATCGCGGGATAGGTCGGGTCCACTGGGCCAAAATGCGGGCTAGGTATGGGTCCGCAGGTACCCAGCCCGACCTGGCCATTGCCATCCCTACCTATCTTCCACATGATTCATTATAAGAGGTAATTGATGGAGGAGTGAAATATAAAGTACTCAAAAGAAAAGTTGAAAGAAAACTTGTTGGGTAAGGATAAGGTGGATGAGTTGGCAAAATCCCATCAAATATCTAAACTGCCACGCTTGAAAATCCAAGTGGCACGTTTTCCTTAAAAAATAATAAAAATGAATAAGAAAGAAAAAAAAAAAAAAAAAAGAAAATTAAAGTGGCAACTCCTTCATTCACGCCTTTGTCTATGTCTAATTATTGTCCTAAACTTTCTTCACCTTCAAGTCAAATAATAAGTTGTATTATATAAAACCCAAAACAAGCGAGAGCTATTAAACTAGATTGACATGGATTTGCATGTAGGGTTGTAAAATACTACGGTGTCATTACGGTGTCATCTCGTCGGATATTTTAATAGTTGAATACACATTTAACTAGTATATAGATAATCCAACGGTTAAAACATTCGACGAGATGATATCACAACGGACCATAAGTTAATTAACATGAGAAAATAAAATATATAATAAAAAGGTGTTCTGAGGACGCTAATCGTTTGCGGAGAGCTGTTGGCGAGCCACAATAACTACACACAATGGCGGTGCCTCTGTGTGTACTCATCTATAGATACATCCGCCTGTATCTATATGCGCATATCTATATATATAATTATTAGCTGATGCATTTAATAAAATATTTAATAAAACCTATTCTTATTTTCCTCCAAAAGAAGTTACATTTTTTTTAATTAATTACTCACTAATTGTTAAAACCGTTACACCTTAATATATATTTATTTATTATTTATTTTTTGGATCAATTACTAAATTAATTCTAAATTTGGTAGCAAAATATTAAAATGTGTAATGGCTAATGTTAGAACTTAAAGTTGAATGACACATTTAGAGCTGTAACCGCTATATTTGGTTGCATTGTTGGAATAAAAATATGATTAACACTTTTTTTTTTCTAAAAATAAAAAAAAAATCAATAATTTTTTTTATTTATGTTAATTATCTTAAAAAAAATAATTTTTATATAAGAAAAGTACATGTCTAATTAATAATACAAACAAAAACGTGTTTATAGCTGTGCAAATGCACATGATCAAATACTAGTATCCATCAATCCATGATTGTCATTAATTTAATTTTTTATTGATTTAATCAAATTAAAAAGTCAAAACGATTTCCTGTAATAATTACTCAATGTTTTCTTTAATAGAAAAAAAAAGGGATTATATTATTTATTATTTAACTTATTTTTATTCTATAAAGTATAAACCTGAAAACAAGGCACCAAAAAGGGGTGGCTCTGCTTACTGCAGTCTACTCTACACACTGTTCACTCTCTCTAAAATCTATAAATCTGTGCAAGGGAGAGAGAGAATCTGAGATCTGAAACAATGGCCGTGGATCCGAGGCAAGTGCTGGCGGGGGTTTTGACGATGACGATGTTCCTCATGCTCGGGAACATGATCAAGCGCGACCACTTCGATGCTACCCATGTATGCTTCAAAACGTAGCTTGTAGTTCATCTTCCGATGATGTTTGCTGGATTTGCTGTTTGATTGACTCTGTTTTTTATCTTTTCTTTTGTTTTTGTTGGTTGATTTGAGCTTAGATTCAGTAATGTGCAACTCTGTGTGTGTTTGCTTTGCTTGTTTACTGGATTTTCTGTTTGATTGACTCTGTTTTTGTTATTATTTTCTCTATTTTGGTTAGCTGATTTGAGCTTGGTTTCAGTAATGTGCAAGTTCTTCACGTGTGTGTGTGTGTGTGCATTCTGGATTTTTGGAGATTTATGCTCCAGAATTTACTTTTGAGTTCTTGTTTTTTCGGATTCGATTGGATTGTATTTTTTGTTTATTGCTTTGAATCATTGAATGCTAGGTTTCTACTTGGCTAAGCATTTGATGATTGAGTGTCTGTACTTGTTTTGATCTAAATTTGATGTGTTTATTATTCGGTGTTTTCCTTAGTTTTATAGATGTGGTTGGACATTAAAATAGATCAGTTATTACAGCAGGGAGTTATTGTTTCGGAGATTTTATAGTGTCATTTGTCATTTTGAGAAATGTGGTTGTTTAGCATTCTTACTGACAGACAGTCTAATTTTTTTTATTTTTTTTTTATTTTTTTTTGTGTAATTTATTTTCCCCTTTTTCCATAGCCGATTGTTCACGATACAAATAAAGCTTCAAAGCTTGCTAATGTCGTGAAAGGGGCGGATGAGTCTTGGAAGGAGGATGGCTTCACCTTAAACCCGTGCTGGCAGAAGCCCGTCTTGGGTGAGTGCAGTTGATTTCCGAGAGTTTGTTTCGCCCGTTTTTCGTAGTGTAGGTTTATTCTTGTCTGTGTGTGTGTCTCACTCTTTTTGCTCACAGAGGAAGCAGAGGAATCACAAGGGTATGTCACTTTGTCATTGACCAACGGTCC